CCACCCCCTACTACTAGATTCCTGAGCCACCACAATCCTCTTTCATTTAGGCAGGACTCATCTGATCTTTCACAATCCATACTGTGACGCACAAAAGAAAATGACATGTTGAAGCCTCTTCTTCCCTGACAGATAGATCCCTCTCCTGGAGTGAGCCCATCTCCGGGCCGCGCTTACTCAAGATGATGCCAGATAAAAGCCAAGCCTCTTAGAGATTAAAAAGACAAAAAAAGAAACCTGCAAGATCACTCACTGCCAAGATTTAATGGGGGACCGAAGTGCCACATGCACATCCCTGCAGCTTCAAGCAATGCAATGATGACACAGGATTTTGACGCTGATAAGAAAGGATGCAGACACCCTGCATAATACATTCACTGCACATTTGACAACAAAGAATGCTTTAAAAATTACTTGCTGAAGAGCCGGATATGCCAGATATGCTTGCACCCTTTGTACAATACACAGAACATCCATGTGCATTTACAAACATGCACATGTCATTTTTTTAATTGAAGGCTTTTTGTCTTCACAAAATTTAACAACTGTAAGGGAATTCCTCCAGAAGAAAATTTAAACTGCAACGAAGAACAGAGGTTAGATGTGGGTGGCTTTTACAATGCCTTTGTAGTCTACAACAGATCAATACCTGTCTTCTGCTCGACTAAGATCAGATACATGCAGTGAGGAAAAATCTGAAGACCCTTGACCTTGTCCATGATCGTGGACAGTACTACACAACCACCAGGGGCATTGAAAGTCCCACGTCACACCTACATCAACTGTGAGAACCTTGCAAATTCACAGAACTGAACATTTATTTCCACTGTCAACATACTGCACCATGAGGAAATTGAGGATTGTTCTCAAATTTCGTGAAATGATCAGGATTTGGGGGGACTGTGAGATGAGATAATCTTACCTACACGTACACTGTATATGTCATCAGACATGCAACAAGGAAGTCAGGAAAATAAAACACACGATGTACACAAGTGTGACAATGTTTCAGCATGCAGTTACATCCAGATGTGTTCTCCACAGCACGCCATGATGTCTGTAGTCTGCCTTCATGCATGCAAAAACAACTGGGGAACCAGACCGAGGGCCTACATGTAGAGTCGTAGATGGACGACGCTAGCGAGACGTAAGGCAAGACTGTATGCGGAGGAACATGCAAGGGTCCGTGCCCTGCGCAATTTTATGTCATAATACACCCCGAATGCATAACCAGACTACGTGTACACTCCTTAATGCTTGCTATACTTGCACTAAGCTTCTGAGAAACGTAATGTACGTGTATAAATGCGCAACCTTTCCCCCCACCTTCTAAGACATCGCCAAATTCTGCAGCTGTAGGCCTGTTGAATTCTTAGTTTTCTGCCAACTATTAACTTCTTAGAGGCCACGGTGCAATTTTTACGAAAACTTCCAATATACAATGCTCGACAAACTCCCTGAATTTGGTCCAACGTGGAGGGAAGCGATTGCCCCACTGATTGATCAAGTCAACCTTTCAACGTGCATAGCCTGCAGTCTGGAGTGAATGCAATAAGCTGTACATTCTCCGCTGATCAATGGAATTAAATTGACTGGGGGGGGGCGTCTAAACTGCGCACATATTAAAAGATCTGGACGACAGGTTCCAGACAGCAAATGTGATTAACTTGTGGTTGGATTTCTGTCGTGTCTGTCTAATATCTAACCTGGAGTACTTGCATCGCAGCCAAAGTCCAGCAAAGACTGCTCTAGTTTGTCAGAAGTACTGTCTTCTATCCTCTCCACAATGAAAAGAAAAAAAATTACAACTGGCAGATTTTGTCTTGCATTTACAGTCAGGTACAAGTCTTGATGTTAGCACTAGTGACCATTTTTCCCATTAATTAAATGCTATTACATGAGTGTGTTAAGAAGCCTTTATTGCCAATTGGCCTTACTCATAAGTCGGCCATATTGAAATGAAAGTCAGATTAACTTTCTTATTTTTGGCAACTGAGAATAAAAAAATTCATTACCAATTAACTCTAACCACCCAAGGGTTGCTGGACCTAACCTTCCCCAATCACACAAACTTCAAAACCTTGGAAAAACACTCTTACCTCCCAGTACCCAATCCCACAGACTTCAACAGTACTTCTGTTGCAAGAGTACCTAATCCCACAAATTCCAACAGGTCTTTACTTGTGTGATTTTGTTTGATTGGGTACAGCAGGCCCATTGCACAGTACAAAAAGTATGGACAGGCAGTACCTATTCCAACAAACTCACACACCATCATGCT